TTGCAAACCGATTGTTGCATCCAGTCGCTTATATTGAAAATAAAATGATTTATGCAAGTATTTCTTGCATCAGAGATAATTCAAAGTTTGCTAATGTTAACAGCATTATAATACATGCAGAAACGTACATTTTTTTATAGATATTAAAAATTTAGGCTCTATGACTTGTATACTATGTCTATTATAGTCAATAGGATTTCAAATCGATGCATGCATTCAAATTCAAATTAGGTCCACCCACGCCCCACGGCCAGTGTAGCTGTCAGCTGAGACTCAGCTCACCTTTCTTCAGAAGTGTGAAAGCTTTTGCCGGTGAAGGTGTGTTTTACGATCGGTCCGTAATGAAGCGTTGATCGGTTCAAAATGACATAAGAACAGGTTCTTTTGAATAACCTATGGATTGGCACTATGGTTCCAGATTTGATTTTTTTCATTTTTTGCCTATTATGTTGAATTTATCTTGATAAATTCACTTCAAATTCTGACTGATTTTGCCTGCCATCACGCGTTTTTAAATGTTTTGTGTCTTTTACAAAATTTTTGTTATTTAACATGGGAAACTATTTCATTATATAAAACATAGAGCACATACCATATAGTGCATTAATAATACAATTTAATTTAATAAAAATTAATTTTTAATTTAAAAAATATAATCAGATTTTTAATTTAATATTTTTCTAATAGTATATTATTCTATAGCATGTACCATCTTTTATTAAATAATAAAATTTGATTTAGTAAAATTTAATTGTAATTAATTTTTTAATTTAATTTAATTCTACAGCTTCAACCGGTAAAAATGAGCATCATAGGAATCAAAGTAAAACTGTCATTCATACATCACAAATTGAATGACATTGGATGGATTTGATAGGTATTTTATTAATCCTGTTTATATATAAGAACGGAAATTACGCTTCTATTTCAGAATGATAATGGAAATATTTTTATTATTTCATAAACTTTTCTTGAATACACTTCCAAAAACCCATGGTCAGGAAGATGTGCCAGGTGCGTGGGAATTTATTTTGTCATTTTAACAACCTGCGTGGTGAGCCGTACTATGCTGGTAAAAAAATATGCCGTGTGCCGTATTTTAGAAAGCTAAAGTAGTTCTACTATTTTAGTTGACAATATACACGAGTATATTGACTACGCGAGTCGAACTGACAATAATAAAATGTAAGACATGTCCGGGTTACTTCTGACTCTTCCGCTTGTCCGCCTTGTTGGATACGGAACGTACAGTAATCGTAAACTGCGGCTATTATACATACGAAATGTAAACAGACGGTGTTCAGTGTTGCCATTATGCCATATGACTTTTGAGAAAATTTCTTCTAAAATAAAGTTCTAGATTTCTCATTCACCAAATTTCTGTATCAAGATAAATCATATATTATTGAAAGATAATTAAAGGCATACTGTACTGAGTAATGTGAGTATTACGACTGTTCCTCCACAAACTGCTCGTGCGCGGCAGCGCGACGTAGAATTGATGGCCGGAATTGCACGAACACGTGCGCAAAGAGAATCAATTTTTATTACATTGCGCCAAGTGTGCACAGCAATAGCTTAAAAAAAGTGAACATGCACGGGAAAATTCACCGAAAACATACATCATCCTGAGTGTGGCCAATACCATGCTATCTATGCTAACTCCTCCATCTTTGCCAACATTTTATAGTGCATATCACAACTCTTTCTCTACTTTGGACCTCTCAATAGTCTCTACAAATCTCTTACCACTAGCATCAGTGCACACAGGGAGTGACATGGGAAGTGATCACTACCCAGTCACTACCTGCCGTGGAGCTGAGGTCTCAACAGTCCAATACAGAGCTCGACCCTCCTGGAAGTTCAAAAATGAGTCATGGGGTGCATGGTCTGCTGCTCTGCAGCAGAGGGGCACAGCACCGTCTCCTGACATTGAGGTCAGCTGTGCTGGCAAGGTAGCATTATTACTGATAGCTCTGTGGCACAGGGCGTTCTTTATCAAAAGTGGTGAAGGGGCTAGGCTGCATGGGCCATGGAATAGTGCAACTTTATGCAAGTGTGCCAAATTTCAGATCGATTGGACAGGTAGAAGTGTGTTAAATATTGGTTATTAGATTTGTAGCAGACAGACAGACAAACAACAAGAAGTAAAGTTGAAGAGAAGTGTTATAAAATGAGTAAAAATCACAAAAAATGTCATTTATTGTACCTACATCTACATCATCTACAAAGGAAAAGGAGGACTTCAGATTACTGTTAGAAATAGATGAGTACCTACACTCTGCATGCTTCAAACGTTTTAAAATTTAGTTTTATTTTAAGTGTCCTGGATTACCACGTTGCCAGGGGTAATTCGGGACACTTTTATTTTTTGTCTGGCACCTTACGAATAGCTTATGGATTTTTTTTAAATGCTATACAATAGCCCTTGCAAAGAGCTAAAAAATCAGCTCAAACTTTTTTATGAAATGTTTCATGGTAAGAAGTTATTAATGAAAAACACTCAAAATTGTCCCTTATTAGCTTGTTTGATGGTATATATTATTTCTGACTGGTGTTGTAGAATAATTTATATAGGTTTGATTGAAGACCACAGAATGCTTTTTATTAATAATCTTCCTATTTGTCTTCTCGACAAGTCAAACAAAATTCTTGCTGGCACTGGGAGATCAAAAAGCAGGTTGCCAAATGACATTTTAACGGATTGTGATGTTTTGAAAATACAATTTTCATTATCAACCTGGTGTCTTAAATCAATCCTGCATAAAAGAAAATGCTTCTGCCAAACTACACCAATAATTTATATGCATATAGATAAGAGTGGTAATGTGGAGTATTTGAATGTAATTTGATTTGTGCTGCAGTTTTTATCAACCTTCCTGTCAAATCAGACCATGATTATTGGCTTGGTGCTATTTATGAGTTAATGTTCCTATTTATTGAATTATATAATAATACTAAATGCTTGATGTTTCAGGTGTTGGCTCCAAATGCAATTTTCATGTTCTTTGATTGAATTTTTGTCCAAAGAAATAATTGCAATGCTTTGAAACAATGGAAATTGATGTAAAATTGTCAGACTTGCAAGTTGTTCCAAACATGTTCAAGGATGTCAAGTATTATGCCACTGGAACTATCAGCAAGGAAGTAAGTATCATTGCACAATGTTTACGGTACCTATCTTTGAACTATATACCTATTTTCCTATCTATGAACAATGTTCATCTATCTATGTTTACATTTAACTTGGTGCTATCAAAATAATTTTGCACTTGATAATATTGGCTCTTTTGTTCTTCAAAATTCCATGCCTGCAATTCTATTCTAATAAATTTTGAAGGCATCTTGAAACTGAGGTAATACTCTGGATGTTGATACATATCAACATATCAGACTTGACATAAGCAGTGGTTGGTGTAAAATGTTGGAAAAATGTTTGGTTCTGTCAACTCAGGAGCTAATAGGAATATTTCAAGTTAGAACAATCAGTAAATGTGGCTTACCTCTACTTATCATCTACCAGTTGGCAGACACAATTTTTAGCTCATTTTCTCATTTATGGAAAAAAGGCACTATTGCACTCATCATGTCCGCCGGTCTGTCTGTCCGTCCGTCTGTGACATGTTTTTGTCAACGAGAAAATACGCTCACTGTCACTCGCTGCAGTGAGTATAGAGTTATATTTGTTTAAAACTACCGTACGTATCAGGAAAATGTAAGTTTAGAATGCATTAAGCAGTTGTTTGGTGATACTTCTGTAGTACTTAATGGCTCCTCTTCAATCAAATGATCTTATGGTTTTAAAAGTTCAAATTCAAATAGAAAGAACCTAATATAAAATCAAATTGTCATCCATTCTTATTTTTTTTGCTATTATTCTGGGGACAATGGCTACTTTCTGTAAAGTCAAGAGATGTGTTATTTTATCAATAATCTTGTTTGGGTGTAAAATGTCAGCCCAAAACTGGTTTGATTTGTTCTTGGTGAACGTGAAAGTTGTGAACTTCTTTCTGTCTTGTCAGATTTTTTTTTTCAATACAAGTCCTTGCTGCCCAGTAACTGTTCATGTGATGAAATCAAAAGTGAAGGTTTTTGATCATTACATCCATCTTAACTTACTGCACAAATTTGTACTTTTTCCAATTTATGTTCTGGTCCTGTATTATTTTGTGTTAAAATTAGTACAAATTTGTGATAATTCTGTTTACTTTTTGGAAATTTGACTCTCTCCATGAGTGTGTGAAAATTAAGGCATGCTTTTTGTCAACAATTTTCTTATTTTTTTATTAACAAGTCAAGCAAAATTTCTTGCTGGTGCCAGGAGATAAAAAAAGCAGGTTACCAAATGATGTTTTAATGGAATGCACCATTTTGAAAATACAATTTTCATTATCAAGCAGGTGAAGATTTTGCATCCCATGAAATTGAACTTTTGGAAATGACACTAGTACAAATCTTAATGTATTGTGGATCTAGTTTGAAATTCAGGGTTATAATTGCTCTGAATATAATTTCAGTGTCCAGACAAATCCTGTAGTTTGGAGGTTGATAGCTGGAGACTCACACTTGATAATGAGGGCCTCAGCTATTGCCAGTCTTGACGGGTCAGGGCACCGCATAACTATGCTGGTGACGGCCTCCAACGTCGCTCGGGTGATGGTCTCATTGTGGGCTTCCCGCATGTGGTTCTTAGATCCTCCAGATTGTAGATGGCATGTTAGTTGGCGGCTTAAGGCTGTGCTTGTAAGACCAATGAGGTTATATTTGGAAGAAGTCTACAACCTTCTATACGTACGTATAACATGAAAATAAAAAGAAATAGTTTCTAGAAGCCGTCCAGATTTTCTACAGGGGTTATTATTCATGACAAGGTTTTTATTTTTCTTATTTTGTAGTAGATCAACTGTTTTGTTTTTTGTCCTCTGTTGTGCTCTTGATGATTATGGATGATCAACTGTTGGACTCATTCATCTGCTTTGTAACCTCTGTTCATCTGGTTTTGGTGTGTGTGTGTGTGTGTGTGTGTGTGTGTGTGTGTGTGTGTGTGTGTAATTGCCCATCCTGGTAGTCTCTACTAGGTAAGGGAGGGGGTGATGGTCAGTTTTTGTGGGCACTAATGCCACTGGTAGTTCCACGATCATTACTGGGTCGCCGACCCTCCAGAACAATTTTTGCATTATACAACACCCTGGACAAGCCAGGTACTCATTTATCAACCAGAGTTGGATGAATGGCTGAGTTGACTGTGAGCTGAGCTTCCTGGAAACCTTGTCCTTGATGGGACTCAAACCCGGGTGCTGGGTGTGAGCAATAGAGTCTCTCACCACTGAACCACCACAGCTCTGAATATTCTAGTTTTGGTAGATGATTGTTGTGATAGTTCCATTATATGTTGTTTTATTGTTGGTTTGGTTTCTAGTATTATCTTCTAGCTATAAATTAGAGATTTTCTTCACCAAGTGTTTACAATTTTCTTCCAGCCACTTCCAAAAATTTAATCATGTAGTCTCAGCATGAAACTTTTGAAGGGAAACGTAAACCTTTACTTGTAAGTTGAGGTTTTAAAGGAAAACTTTAATTGATTATTTTATTTCATTTAAAGGTTGAGACATTACTGAGCAATGGAGGGGCACAGTTGGAGAGCCACATCACCGACTTGATGACCCATCTTATAGTCGGCTCCGATCCTGATGAGATTGAGATGGGAGAAGTCAAGGAAATCTATGAGAAGCCTGTGGTGCTGCAGTCCTGGGTGGTCTTATCTGCCAAGTGCAATACTCTATTGCCGTATCCTTTATATGCTTATTTTATTTATTTGTAAGTGATCCATTATGTTCTACAGTACTTACTATCATAAATAATTGTTGAATTCCACAAATACAATGGATTTGAGAATGTTGTTGCCGGGTGGATGTCTCACGTTGCGGGTGAGGTAACCGTGTTACCTACTTTGAGTTTGATTTGGCAACAACCCTTCTATCTAGTTCGATAAAGGCGAATGAAAGACTGGTGTCTTAATCTCTTAAATTGAAGTAAAAATTACGCTTTTAAAATCGCTCGTGGTTTGAAATCCAATCCCGTGTTGCCAACGCCTAATTAAGTTAACTAGTCATTTATCTGTAAGCTAGTGGACACATTTTTGCAATGAATACGTTCTAAAATAAAAAAAAACACATCCACATTCGTAAAAATTCTCACGATTGGACAACAGTCACATAGTGTAGGTACGTGCATAAACCTTGCAAAAACCAAAACAAAGCAATGAAATTTTGAAAAATGTCGGACCGGCTGTTTTGGTATCAACGCGCGGTGGGTGTCTTTTTTTCATCTCTACACTTGAAAAAAAACTTAAATTTGCAAACTTGAGTATGGAAACGAATAAATAAATCTTACTGAGAACCATAGGATTGCTTTTTTCAAGAAGTGTTTATTGTTTACAAGCTCAATGGCGTTTCTGGAGTGTTGCCATAAACTTCATTGAAAAAAAGTTGTTTTCAGTTTTGCTTGCATAATGATACAATCAAATCAGTCAATCAAATTGTTTTTTTTCTGTATGATGTCAAAATTTCAGGGTTCTGCAAGTATACGTTCAATTTGAAATATAACCTGGAAAAAAGACTATCGTAGCTCCCGTACGTCAGTCCCAGTGTCGTGTGGTGAGTCCTAGGCTAGTCCTAGTACAGTGCACTGGGTGCAGCCTTATGCTAGTCACTAGTCAGTCCTAGACTCCTAGTTACTAGTTAGCCTAGGGCTAGCTTTGGGTGTAATTTAAAATTCAAGGTTTCGATATTATTAGGAGCAAAATATTATTACTAAGTCAGTACTTAGTAGCTCCTCTGCTAGTGCTAAAGTTTGAGTAGCCCTAGCCAAGGGCTAGGCTGGGGCTGGGCCTAGCTAGGGCAAGTGCTGGGTGGAATTTCAAGGGAGGGTTAAACATAGAGATCTACTGAATTATAGTATAATCTAGAGCAGAGTTGCAGTAAAGTGAAATTTGAGATGCAATATCAATATATCTTAGATAAAATTTGAATTATAAATTATACCGTCAACCGGGGCTACTCGGGACAGATTTGATCGTTTTTTTGTTAATAACTGTTAATAACTTCTTAAGATGAAACATTTCATAAACAAATTTAGGCTCATTTTATAGCTCTTTGCGAGAGCTATCGAATGGCCTTGTCAAAAAATTCCATATGCTATTCTTAACCCTTTACGCCCTGAATTTCTGGGATGAAAATTGTAAAATTCACTTTTTCTGTTTTAAGTCTCACTTCAAAGCTGACATTCTGACCTATCCAACGGTACCAAAATCGTCTCTGTATGTTGATTTATGCCTTGATGACAGTTCGTGAAAGGGTTTGGGGTGGGGGAGTTCTTTAACATTTAATATGGGCGAAAATTACTGGTCGGGCACATAAATAGACAACCTGAAGACGCTGCTCTTTAGTTACCCGTCTGCTGTCGTGTGGGATGGTGCTCATGCAGTCAAAACTATATATTTTAGTGTTCATTAATTCTTCAGTAAGCTGATTGCTGCAATACAAGTTTGATATCATCATAAGGTTCTTGATTATTACTGTTTTTCTGCTTGTTAATTAATGCTTGTTCATATTTAATCCAATTCTTTATCTTATAGTCTTAGGGCTATGATGCATAAAATTAATAAGTTTTACTTTCTTTTATGGCAGATCACATATGCATCTTGTCCATGCTCCTATGTACGTTAGTCCATGCTCCTGTTCTAGTTGTCCATGCTCCTATGTATGTTAGTCCATGCTCCTACCCTCCATGTTTCCTATTCTCCTTAGTTCCTTAACTCCTATGCTCGTTAGTCCTATGCTCCAAAACTCTTTAGGTATACCGACATTCTTCATTCACTTATGCACCACACTTGTGTGCATTTCATAACCAAGAGCCATTTAATTGAACTGTAATCTAAATTCTGTTTCATTTGTCAGTAATAAAAGATCAATTTTAGTCTCCTTATTATCCACTTCCCAAGTAGGTTGTTGCCAACCTATCAAGTAGAAGTAGGCGACGTGTTTGCCTCACCCGCCGGAGACACGCGGCAACAATGGGAATAAAACTTCATTTCAAAACATTTGAAGCATGCAGAGCATACTCATCCATTATTAACAGTACTCTGAAGTCCTCCTCTTTCATTGTAGAAGATGTAGAGGTAGAATAAATGACATTTTCTATGATTTTTACTTGTTTTTCCTTTATTGATATGATATTACCATAAACATTAATTACCATCAACTGGGGTGACTTAGGCCTCCTTTTTGATTCATGCTGGGGCAGTAAACGCCGGGTCATAAACGCCGGGGTCATAAACGCCAGGGTTGTAAACCAGGTCATAAACGCCCAAGTGACTTTGGCCATTGTTTATGACTGTTTATGACCTGGCTTTGGCTATCATTATGAACACCACTGAATCCCCCAGTTGAGGGTACCCTATTATTGATGGGATATTACTGTATTATTGATGTGATATTACCCTATCCATGAACTTGCCATTGAGCATTTACAACAATCTTGTTCACTGCAAGCTTCATATCAGCAGCCTTATAGCATTTTTTCTGTATCTGTAAGCTTACAGGACGGCATGTAATTTGTGCGAGGATAAGTGAACTTTTTTTTGCTCAGCGAGGTAAATGTAATCAATATTCTTTGTTTTTAATCAATTTTTTTCTTAACTAGAGCCTTTGCTAACTGAGGTTCTACCATAAATGCATTTTTGGGGGTGTCCCGAATAGCCCCAGGGGGGTGTCCCGAATAGCCCCAGGGGGGTGTCCTGAGGAGCCCCGCCGTGCAGAAATGGCTGCCATTTCGTTTTGGAATGAGATAGGCAAATTCTGTCAATTACATTTTCAAGCCGACACCTGGGTGCAACTTTTACATAAGTAAAATTTTTTAATACAGTACGGCGAATATTTTTTTTTGCTACATACCTTAGCAGTTGTAACTTTACAAAATATAGATTTTCACCATTTTTTTCAGGAATTTTTCAAAGCAAGTAAATGTAGTATTTTTCAACTTCCTTTATACTACATAGATAGGAAAAATGTTGATGTTTACGCTACTATTTTTAGTTTTGCAATATTCCAATTAGTTTCGCTACTACAACAGTTTTACAATGTGTCGGAGGCCATTCCCGAGTAGCCCCGCTTGTCCCGAGGAGCCCCGGTTGACGGTAACTTAACTACAATAACTTATTGAAGTTATTGATTTAGACAAGGCAGCTGACAGAAAATTAGGAATATGATTAATTTGAATTGTTGTGGTGTTATGGCAGAATTTTGAAAAGATGTTATGTTACCAGTTTGGAATATTGTGCATGTGCAGATTTTACACAAAAATTGCGGGCGTGATAGAATAGGCTTTGAAAATCACAGGAGCCTGAGGGGAAAATTGGGTGCAAGCCACCCGTGAATTAGTCTGAAATGCCCGTAAATGTTAATCTGACCAATTTCCCTGTTTCTATGATTTTTTCACAATTTATTTGTGTAAAATAAGAAGGCACTCTACATACTAGGGAGTAGGATAACCATCAAATAGCTACCTAAAATTAGCAAAAATCTGATTTGGCACTGCAGTCTTGACTCTTGAATACACAACTCACTGCTCCAATTCTGCTGTGCTTAACTGCCTGGCTTCCTTGCCAATTCTGCTGAGAAACTGGCGCACAGAGCTGGGATCAAACCCTCACCTCTTTGCTCCAATCTTGGTATTCTGAACTTTAACCACTGGGCCACCCCAGTGTTAAAGGTCTGACAATGCTGAAAATGCTTTGTTTAATAACTGGATACATTTTTTTCTTGCAGAAACTTGAGGAGATTTTCTAACATAACTGTCATTCATTGGCTTAGGCAGTTTGCCAACATTGAAAATTTGACAGAGATCTTTGCAAAGTGTCGCCAATTCTTCAGTAAGTTTAGCATTTAAAAATTTATGTTTTCAAAGAGGATTAATAATTATTATTGGCATTCAATGCCATGTTCTGCTTCAAAACAATTTTTTTCTTAGCTACTTGTATAGTGATTTTAAACATTCTTTGATTTTTTATCATTTATTTTGATTTTTGATTAACTATTAAATTTTTTTAATTATTATTTCAATGCTTGTTAATAGATGTCCATTTACACATTTTTCTAAGATCATTTTTATTTAGTTTATGTGCTGTTATGTTTATATTTTACCTATAATGCTACTTCACATGCCACCAATATTATTCATTTTCCAAAGTATGCTCTTGAATCATTCTCTACTTTACCCTGACTTTGTCATATTGTTTTCAGTTTCATTTTGCACAGGAAAGAACCCTGTCATTCCACCCAAGAAAAGAAAGTCAACAACCACCAGACTTGGCACTGGAGCAACATGGGCAGTGCTTCACCAGTATGACCAGCCCACAGAGTCAGACCTTGTACAAGACTTACCACTAATAGGTCATGCAATTAGGTTCTGCTTAGAACATAATAAGTCCTACACAGCAACATGTGCTTGGATTGAAAAGGTCTTTGGCATGAGTGTCCATGAACTACCTACATAAGAAGTCTCATGAAAAAGTATATCAAGTTCAGCAAAAATACCAATGAAAATCTAAAAGAAGATACTTTGGCAAAACTCCGAGTCTTTTGTGAAGAGCCTCTCAGCAGTTCACACCCTGAGATGGAGTTAAGTACTGTGCAATTAGAGCCATCAACATCCTCTCATGCGTCCTTGCCACCTACTTCTGATGCTACTGCTCAACCATTTGTGTTCACTTCTATTGAGCCCACATCTGAAGAAATTGCAGCATAAATAGCTACCAAGCCTTCTGCATTTGTCCAGCTTCTCATGCCAACCTCAGGCTCTCGACCCTACATTCAGCTCTCAACCATCTCTCCACGGCCAGCACGGAGAACTCCTAGCATTGGAAGGCAACTCCGTAAATGCAAAGACAGCCCAAGGAAGCGGCTCTTGAGAAACCATTGCCGGGATTTATCTCTTAAAATTGCCAAACTGAAATCTATCTACCATGAGCGCATGAAAATGATAAGGTTGACACAACGCAGAATGCCAATAATGGTGAAAAATCTTGAGAAAAGGGTCAAGTGGCAAAATGAGGCTAATGTCAGGGTAAAGAAACAAATGCGTTTTTGGGGGTGTCCCGAATAGCCCTGGGGGGGTGTCCCAAGTAGCCCTGCTGTGCAGAAATGGCTGCCATTTTTTTTTTGATTGAGGTATGCAAATTCCGCAAATAAAGTTTTCATGCTGACACTTGTCTGCCACTTTTTTCTAAGCAAAAATTTTTAATACGGCAAATATTTTTTTACTACAGACCTTAGCAGAAGTAACTTTTCCAAATTTTGTTTTTCACTGTTTTTTTAGGAATTTTTCAAAGCTAGTAAATGTAGTATTTTTGAACTTAATTTATACTACATAGGAAAAATGTTGAAGTTTACGCCACTATATTTAGTTTTGCAATATTCCAATTAGTTTTGCTACTAAAACAGTTTTATGCCATGTCAGAGGACTATCCCAAGTTACCCCGCCCGTCCCGAGTAGCCCTGGTTGACGGTATATATTGTTTCTGACTGGTGTTGTAGAATAATTTATATAGGTTTAATGGAAGACCAGATAATGCTTTTTATTAATAATCTTCCTATTTGTCTTCTCGACAAGTCAAACAAAATTCTTGCTGGCACCGGGAGATCAAAATGCAGGTTGCCAAATGACATTTTAACGGATTGTGATGTTTTGAAAATACAATTTTCATTATCAACCTGGTGTCTTAAATCAATCCTGCATAAAAGAAAATGCTTCTGCCAAACTACACCAATAATTTATATGATGAAGGCACCACTTAGTGACCTTCTTCAACACAGGGTTGTTGGTCGCTTCATTGAACACCGTTGGTACGAGCAAAATGACAAAATTGACATAAGGTACCATGGCAAGTTTGAAGGAATCAAACAAGTGAAGAAGTCCGTATATGTTGTGGCCTATTGGAAGAGTGATGAATCTTATGCCATTGCAGTGGACTACGACATGGATGTGTATGAACTAGCCGCCGACATCATTTTTGGAGACTTAATTATTTTATAGGTAAGACTGTTAAACTTTATATTTAGTATTTACCATACTTTTGTATGGAATAAATTAATTACCTGGTTCTTCATCTGTTCACAATGGCAGGCCAGTCCATAAAATGAGTTTTGTTATTGCCAACGTACCTTGATAACTGACATTTTGGTTTTCTTTTTGATCATCTTAATAATTTTATTTTTATCATGTTTAATTTAACTAATCTGTTAATGCTGTTGCAGAACCAGTTGAACCAGCCTCGACCATCAGCATCACCAATACCCTACGACCTACCGGATACCACTCTATTGCAGACCCTCTTCAGTCCAATTCAGCATCCCCAGTTCTATTGCTATAGAGTAGACTGGTAGCAACTCAGCTTTTGCTACAAGCTACACTACCAACTACAGCACAGGCTCAGGACAGCCATGGCACAGATCTCGTTTATAGCGACACTGAAATTTTATAGGTTAGATTGATAAGTTTATAATTAACTGTTATTTATAACAAAATAATAAGTTCATCATCTAGTGATATATAAACATTACATGGTCGTGCTTAGAAGTTAGAGTTCTACAATGTTGTTTTGTAAGTGGGCAATGAAATTAATCATCCCAACTTTAATTAATGTGCTGATCATAGATGCCATTTTAGAAGGAGTAGAGCATCCACAGAATGGTATGCCCACAAGAATTATTTTTCTGATACGATTTTAATGTCTTTATATTTTTTCCGTATTCAGGAGAGACTCGGGCCCAGTCCAGTGGCCCTGAGTGGGTGCCAGTGCAGTCCACGCATCAACAACACGGTCAATTGAGTGGAGTTGTTCTCATCTATTGACCAAATCTTCATGCCGTAATGTTGCGCGTTTGCCGCTCTCTCCGCCTCCTCCTGAGCAGCCGTCTCCCTGAGGATGAAGGCTGAGGTGCCATCAAGCAGCAGATCCGGGCAACTAACAACAACAGTGCATTTTTCAAATGGTTTTTCTTTGCATTGTTTGTATAATTATTATCTATGATGGTGTCATACTACTAGCTATATACTTGCGTGTCATATAATGATATATACATAATATACTGCAATATTTAGTCTTTATATGCTAATGTCGTAGTGTAGAAGGTGAAAATAGGCCTTGTCATGTGACTTCTTACTAAGTACCTACATGACGGCTGACATATAACTGAATCAAATAATGTTTAGTAGAAGTAAAAGTTGTTTCAGTGAAATAAACTTGTGGTCAAGATAGTTAGAACGTCATTTGCTTAGACTCTAAGTTGGGTCACAGGGGAAATCACCCTACAACGAGGGAGCTTCAGAAGTAGAGGTCACATTATTTCTCAATAAAAGTGGCATACTTCAAAGCGCAGCTGTGCCGAGTGCCATAGGATGCACCGATGGAGCTTCCTAGGGCGTTATTAAAAATAAAATTTGCCTATTTACAATATTATTTGAAGTAATCTCCTTATTCTGAGAACATTTTGAAGCCCCCTCGTACATAACAACTCCCCCACCCCCCTGCACCCGCAGTCTCAACCAAAATGTTTTATTCTAGTTGGAATAGATAGCCTACAACAAGAGCTTTCGAATGGTACCAAAATCTTTGAAATTGGCTCATAGGAAGCCTAAAAATGATAGCTTTTCTCAAGTTTTTCTCATGAAAGTACCAAAAGCTGGTGCATTTTTGACGCGTAATTGAATAAAGGAAAAAATTGATAGTTTTTTCATTTTTAGACCTACACCGCTCATACTGATATATTTTTTTACATTTTTTTCTCTTTTTAGTGGTATAACTTTTTTTGTGATCACGGGAAATTTTTTTTTTTGTGCACGTACCTAGATTAGGTACTTTATAGAAACTGAGCAAGTTAGCGTATGTGTTTTAAGCCTTTAAGAAGTTCATTTTTTGCCTCAAATAACGATGTTGGGTAGAAAAAGTGGTCTTGGTAGATTGAAATAATATATGAAGCTTTGAAATTAGAATTCCTTCCTGTTGCCTGGGCTCCTGGGAATTGACCCCATTAGTGCCCAGATGATGATGATCATCAATGCCAGATCAAAAACTTGCATCCATTTGTAACACATGCTGATGCTTGTTAGTTGTTACTACTTGTTTCAGTCCATGCACTGAGCCACTGACAGGTCCTCTTCTTCAATACTTTCATTTGATGAGTGATATGGGCAGCTAGCTAGCTCAGGCCTTTAACAGCCACTGGCATGCCCAGATTCAGATGGTTGCTACTGATTGAGTGGTTGCCCAATTGGAAATTTAAGGTAATGATCAGGAGTACTGCATTTTGAAATTCTCACGGAATTACACTGAACCGCCATTAGGCGCCATTTCACGGATTTTGTAAGAGATCTTGAACATTCTCATGGAATTGCTGTTTTCTCCAGGGTGCAGAAGGTGGAAGCAGCATTGCCAATATATGGGTTGTTAAGCCCAAAGCATTGCCGACCATTTTCAAAATGCGTCGCCGGGTAATTTTTAATGAAAAGCAATTTACGCTGAGTAATGAAAAACTATTTACAGGCCACTTATTTACAAGGCTGCATGCACGTGTTACCCCAAATACCTAATTTTACCCTAAAAACAGCCCGATTGTACTGCAAGTGTCAACTGAACATGTGATAATGCAGTCTGACCGCTCTATTGTGACCGCAACTAGCTACCCAATTGTAAACTTGTTTACATTTTTTTGGTGGGAACTCATCGCAATCGATTTCCGGATAAGCTTTACTGCATCTTGATCCATCCAACGTACCGGAAACCTTACTTTTTTCTAAATAGTTGGCCAAAGACTGACAAATATATTAAATGCAAGAATTACAATCTAAATGTGTCGGCAAGATCTTCTGAAGGGGTAAATTTTGATACTGAAGCGTCGCCAAAGATCTTGCAATATTCATCCACTCTCTGCACAGTGGTGTTTTCACGATTCATCATTCAAGCAACTAACATCTCAATTTTGTCTAAGAAAGATTACTCATTACGTTGCCTCAATCCTTGAGCATAGAAAATAAACACCTAAATTGTTTTAGTGTACTAAATTACTGCATCCAATGCACCTTCTCCCACTCCACAGTGCACGCAAACAGTTCCATCTCCTACGATGCGGACGTGAGCAGCTACTGTAAAATGGGGTAACTTTGACCACTTTTTTTTATCAAAACAATGCCATTTTTTTACTAGATAAGTTAAACTTAAATTGAAACATGCAAAATACAGACCTTTTAGATATGCAAACTTTTTAAATCTTTCTATTGTGTTACGTAGCCTCAGTATTAGGCCTTTGATGGCCATTGACAAAATTTTTCTATGTCAAATCGTTTTAAAGTTTTGGGGGTTTTTGTTAAAAAAACAAAAAGTGGTCAAAGTTACCCCGCCGGTCAAAGTAACCTCATTTTACGGTACTTTATATAATGCAGTAGCTACTCTTATAATATGTGATGTTTCATACTAAAAACTGATTCAAGAACCAATGTTTTTTAAGAAACAAAGGTAAATATTTTAATCATACAATAATAAAGACGAAAAACTTTAACCAACTGCAAATTAGTTCGTTCGTTTTTCAGTTTTTTTTTGAGGATGTGGAGTCGTCCTCCATGCACCTCACGGCTTAACAGGGCTCCCTCAGCAGGCAAGCCAAAACCTGAAACATGAAGAACCATCAGATGTCACCAAAGTGGTACTCAAGGAGTTATGGGTCTATTGGTTAGTATACTAGTTAGTAGCCCTTACCTAGGAATAGGCTTGTCATTTGGACACACAGGTTTGGGGGCCAGATGGTCCAGCCTGGGCTGGTGCAGCCTGGAGCATCTATTGTGTTGTTCAGGAATCAAGATTTGTATACATACCATGGACCCTGCTACTTTCACTCTACAACTACTGGGTCCAGGCATGGGGGCAAGTTGATGCATCCATGGTCCAAAGACTTGTCAGAAGGACATATAGATATGCTTCCAGCACCCCCCCCCCCTCACAGGTGATACACTTAAATTTAGTATGTGCATCGACAGGGGGAGGTGCTGGGAGACTATTGCCAGTAGGCTCCAATGATATTAGTACTTTTGAAGCTAGGTTAATGGTTAGTTCTATGATCATTCTCTAGATTCTTTCAATTTTCCAGTTGATGCAAGACGTGAAACATATTGCATAATTTCATATTGAATCTTGGGGGGATATTCTACTCCACCAAGTATACATTTCATGGTCACTGGGACTCCAATTGAATGCAACGGAGACTGCAAAATTGTACGACTATTTGCAAATATTGGACACTGGAGAAAAAAATGTTGAATTGATTCTACTCTCCCACAATGACAAAGATTTGAGTTAGCTCGCTTAAACCTATACATGTGCTCCCTCAAGCCTACATGACCCAATCTGAATTTTGCAAATGCAGTTTCCATAATTCTCTCCTTAATGGATTACCAAGGCCAATATCCCATTTTATCCCTAATTTTCCTAAGGTGTTGGCCTGTGTTAGTAGTTGCTACCTTCTGCTTCCAATCTCCTTCCCACACCTTCCAGACTGCAACCCTTATCTCACTCACCTTGTCCTCTCTGCACATCACAGCCTCAGCTGATACCTCAGGTAATGTGTGGGCTGCTTTGGCTGCCAGGTCAGCCATCTCATTTCCCTTGATGTTCTTGTGGCCCAGGATGAACTGGATCACCACTGGAAAAGGAGCTCGAAGAACAAGTATTATTTGGTGAATTTTAAACACTAATGGTAAATGTGATGTTGGTTTGCGGGATGTTAACAAGCTCAAACTTGATAAAGAGTCAGTGTATATAACAGCTCCTCTGCCATTTGCAGTGCCATCCCTTATCTTTAGGACTGCTTGAGCGATAGCAAACAGCTCACAGCTTAGAATTGTTTCCTGTGGGTATGATTTCCAATTAAACATATGAAATGTATTAGCCTCCCGAACCACTATTGATGCTGCTGCAGAGGGTTCAGGCTCAAGAATCTTTGAACCATCAGTATATACTTCAAGAAAACCATTATAAACTGTATCTTGTAGGTCTCTTAAAATGTTGAGAGCAGCTGACTCCGACATCTCTCCAACCGGCTGCCCTGCAAAGAAAGGTGAGTAGTGCACAGTAGAGATCTGCAGCACATCCCACAAAAGTCGTATTCAAGTCATCCATAGTCTTTTTTGCTCGCAGTGCAAAATGGGGAGCAAAAATTGTTCCTGCCCATGGACGGTCAGCAAAATCTGTCACGTCAGAAAGGCTGCGGTAGACAGGCAGGTGTTGGGGTAGCTCCCCCAGTCAGCAGAAGTACCGCAACCGGACCAGGTGGCGGTGAAATTTCAATGGGGGAACATTGCTCTCTACCTCTAGTGAAGATATTGGTGATGTTTTTCTTGCCCCAATGGCCAATCTGAGGCACCTATTTTGAATTTTGTTTAGTCTTTCCAGATGACTGCTTGCTGCCGTCTCATAGAACATGGAACCATAGTCTATTTTGCTTCTTATTACTGCCTTGTAAAATTTGAGCAATGTTTCTCTGTCTGCTCCCCAGTGATGGGCCGATATGGACTGCATGACATTGACCCTCCCAAGGCAGCTCACACTTAAAATGTTTATTTGGTCCCTCCATCCCAAGGCTGGAGAGTCTAGAGTGAAACTTCTGGAAGAGACAGCTGCCACCTACCCCAAGAGCCCTTGTGAAACAGCCAATGGCGATGGGACTTGAAAGTGGCTTTGCTGGGAGCAACGCTAATTGTCAACAGCACTGGCTCATGGTCGCTGCCCATTTCGGGTTCCAGCGTTATTTGCGAGAGGGGCATTATGTCCGTTGAGACAAAACAAAGGTCCAAAGTAGAGAAGGTTCCAGTTTGTGCATGGAAATAGGTAGGAAGAGAAACAGGTGTTAGTAGGCTTAAATCTGGAAACTCCCCCAGGCTCTCCAC